ATATATATACATATATATATATACATATATATATACATATATATATATACATACATATACATATATATACATATATATATATACATATATATATACATATATATATATACATACATATACATATATATACATATATATATATATACATATATACATATATATATATATACATACATATACATATATATATATATATATATATATACATATATATATATACATACATATACATATATATATATATAATAAGTGACCATATACAATATTTCAATGTCATATCTCATGTTAAACAATACATTTGAATCTCACATCAGCCTGGTTTAGGAGCACTGTTTTGCTCACTTACTTTACAGCCTTATACTTTACACGTTACTTATTATGGCCAAGCTGTTACATTGCAATAAAACTGGCTGCTGCATGCTTTAAATACTTTGTGATAACGGGTGAACTATGACCGGATAAAGATCGGACTGGCAAGACTTACCTGTTCAGCCTCCCCACAATAGCCCCGCCCCGCTGCGCACACCTGCGTCGCACAGCAGCCGCACCTGTACGGAGCTCTGCGCCCTGCCCCGGTGCAAACGTCGACCGTGAGTAGGTCAGAGTATCCACATCCACTCCTGCCTCTTTCCCCCACCCCTGACATGCTGCAGTCCTTGGCTTACCTTCACGACTCGGAGCTCGTGGCCCGGTTCCAGAAACGATGCGGACTCGTCCTCGTCGAAGCCGCGCGTCATGATCGCAGCCGAGGGAGGACGCGAGGAACCCCGGTCCACAACGGCGAACCACGCGGTGGACCGCAGGAGGGAAGTCGGGACCACCAGGATCAGAATTCAAACTTTAAACACAAGGAGAACGGATGTGCTGTTAGTGTAAGTCTGACAAAAGTTGGTCCACTAAGTGCTTTTAACCTTTAAACATGATTTTAATTCACAAATATAAACCACATAGTCCATTACTATTTGCATTGGATTCCCTCAACGTGTGAGATTAATATATGAACTAAAGATTTCGGTTCTAGGAAGTAAGACCTACAGGTTTTTTTTTTAAATAGTATGCAAACCAAACGGTATGCAAACCAAACAGTGACTGGCTTTTCTCGTTGGTCTGGGTGTCTGAGTCAGCCACGAGATCCTCACCGGCACAATGCCAAGCCACGTGGGATGTTGACATTCTTCTGTGTCGTACCTTCTCTTATGCGAACTATTTATTTAGACTACTGACGAGGTGAAGAGGAACACAGAGGAGTTCCTCACAGGCTCAGATGTTGAGGATGGGCTTGATATTGTGCAGGAAATTGGAGCTCCTTCTGGGTGGAGTTCAGCTCGGACGTAGACCCTGCTGATGTCATAATGACATCAGCAGGGTTATCTTGGGTTGGGCATGGAAACTACAGATATGTAACAGAAAGTCTGCATTATGGATTTGAGGTGTGGAATTTATAGGAGGTAAGGGGGTTTAATGAAAGAAGCCAATGTGTTGCATTATGGGAAATGTGGGATCCAGCATTTTTTGGAAAGTGATGCTTACTAGAGGCTAAAGGTCTCGGCCTCCGCCGCATGGATGCCTGGCCACTCGTTTTTCATTTTTTTTTTTTTTTATTCATTTTTTAGCCTAACCTTGTGCACGTGCAATACTAATTTGTGCTTGGTATTTATTTGTGTGCTACTTTAATCATTTGAAGAGATAAAACCAGCAGATTCTGAACTGCTGGCTGGTATAAATAATGAAATGTGACGAAAATAAGCTGCAAACAAACAAAAAAGTTGACCGGTGTGGAGCTAACGTAGGGTGTGGCTGCACTGTTGGCTGTTAGATGTCATCTGATACCTTTCCAGAGGCCTCATTACAGAAAAATATCCAAACTGCTTGTCTTATCTTAACTTAAAAATCCTATCTTCCTATTACAGAAATAATTCCTGAACTCATGTCTGTGTCCTTAACTGAAGAAACCCTAACTAGAAATGTAATCGTCCAATCGGCACTTGTCCTGTCATGCCTGTGTTTTTGATTAGAATGCACCGGTTGGCTACTCAAGATGGACCAGCCATCATATCAACGGCTCTTACTCGTCACTGGCTAGCTAGCTTTATTGCTATCATGCGCAACAAAAAAATCAAGGCGGTTAACTTCGAGGAGTCCGAGGCACTAATTGTCTCGGGTGAGGAGGGGAAATCCCACTTTTTTTCTGCACGTTTTTCTTTATCTCAATCAATCCTCGTCAGAGCCGGACATCAAATGTAATCGTCTTGGCCGTCGATCCGGGAGATTCTAAGCATAATGAAACAGTTTGAGAAGCTTTTGAATCATTATATTTCAGTGTTCATGTTGTTCTCCCATCTTCATCGTCATCGCCATGAAGGCCTAACAACCGTGCTGCTTCCATTTTTGATAGTTATTTTGAATTTAGGACATCCTGATTTAGGAAATCCCAAACTTAGGATGGTTCTGTAATAGCTGAATTACTATCATAGATTTTTTTTAATCTAAATGCGGTTAGGAAACATGTTTCTACAATACCAAAAAATGTCATCCTAAAGATGAGATGGGATTTAAAATTTTGGAAGTTTCCGGTGCCATCACCTTTAGTGTTAATCTGTTTATTCTCCGCAGGCCTGCAGCAGACCTCAGTACGAGGTGAGGAACTGGCCTTTGCACTTCCTCTTCCTGTTCTCCGCGGGCCTGGGGCACGAAATGTTCTACATCACCTGTCTGCCTTGCATTCACTGGAGCCTGGACCCGTTCCTGTGCCGACGCCTCGTCAACATGTGGACCGTAAGTCACAGCTGGAGGGGGAGATGTGCGCATCGGTCCGATGTCCGTTGGTTCCACAATGCCACCTCTCTTCTCTCTGCTCTTCATCTCCCTCTCTTCACCTTTCAACCTCCTTTCATCCCTCTTCTCCCCCCCCCCCCCCCCCCCCCCCCCCCCCCCCCCCCCCCCCTTCCAGTGACCTGTCTCTGACACCACCATGTTCATATATCCCCCAGGCCTGAGGGGCCACTGGGGCCAGCCTGACCGAGGGCCCTTGACACGGCGAGAGGCCACACACGGGGACTCATTACCGAAAATGAAAATCTCCCCTTTTTTAAGACGTTTACTCTGACAGAATCCAGCACATAACAACAAGACGGCCTGAAAACCCATGAAACGTGAACCCGGAGGGAGCGTATTTGACACTTCATTGAGACACACAGCCGGCCATACACCCTCTCTCCTGCACTGTGCGTGATGGGCAGTGTGTTTTTGTGCCCTTTGTGTCCCCCGCCTCGAGCGCTGGGTGGATGCCCTGTGTCTGAACCCCTTGTTTGGACCCCCCTACCCCCCTAGGGGGAAGAGACACCATTCTTCTGGCATCCTGGCTTCACCAGGCCGCTGTTTGAACTCCTTTTTAAACTGCACATAAACACCAACACACACACACACACGCATGCTCGCACTCCCCGCCTTAGCCTCCTAAACACACTCATCGCCCTCCCTCTAGTTAGACATTACCAGCTTCACTCTTGTGTTCTCCTCCCTCCCCCCCCCCCCCCCCTAATCTACCAGCAGAGTGTTTTATCGGCCTCATCAGCGCTCTGAGCTTTCTCTCTCTCTGTGGACCGAACATTTGGCCTGTCAGCCCTCGGGGCGCATCACCCTGCACTCCCAACTTCTAACAGCACCCTGCCATTGTGCTGGTGGAGTTATCTGAGGGTTCACGGAGGGATTGAGCGCTCTCTTTCTTTCCCCTCCGTCTCGCACGCAAAAACTGGCAACTCACGGCAACATCTGAAGTGCACCCATGCACATTTAGACTTGTATGCATGAGCACACACACTGCAGGTCCATTACTGAAAAACACACTCATTATACCCCCCCCCCCATCCTCTCCCTCCACCCTCTCCCTCCACCTTGTGTCCTTCACTACTCTGTTGCCTTTACTTGCAGGGTGACTTTGGTTGACTTAGAAAACGGTAGCTGTCATTAACCATATGGCCATGAATTACATTGCCGTGCCGTACGGCATTATAGTAGCACAGTGTTATGCAAATCACGCACCTACTGTGCTGTTTGGAATATCAAAACCCATCTAGTTGTACACACAGGGCATGAACTATGATGCAGACAGCAGAAGAATGTTTAGAGAAGGAAATGCACTCGCTTTATTCCCAGAAGACGAAACTTGACCAGCCATCAGTGACGACGGCCAGAGGTCAGAATCTGTCCGTCTGTGAATACAAAGACAGTGTGACTCCGCCCTGTCGTAACTACAAGGAAGGTCACTGCTGTACTGGCGGTAATACCGACATGTTTCTGCCACAAAGTGCTTGAAAATGACCGGGACAAAAATGCATATCATGACTGATGTGTAGGATTTCGGCATGACGACTGATTGGATCAGGTCTGTTCCGGTCCGGTGTTAAAAGTCAGCAGATAAAATCGTCTAGAGTGTGACATGTAAAGATTGTAAGACTTCAGACCCGGTCATTAACTACTCCCAATGACGATGCTAATATGTTGACGTTTAGCGTTCTGTTTCATATTTTCCCTCGCTCACATGCTCCCCACTTTTGAGAACTACTATTGAGAGTGCTTGAAAACCATTTGCTGCAGTTATTTTTTTTTTTTTTTGCATGAACAGAGAAGTGAAGGTCCACTCAGCCGAAAACAGTACAAAAGCAACATAAGAAAACAGGAAGTCTATAAGCAGGATAGTAAAGGCTGAGTGCAACTTTAAAACTGGACCCAGGAGAAATTCTCCCGCCTTCTTAAGGCTATCTCAGTAACAAACCATGCTGTGAGGATATTATAGAGAAACTCTTATATAGCTGCAGAAAATACCTCTTGGTTCATGAGAGCAGGCTGCAGCATGAGTCCCAAAATACGCATTGTACAAATGGACCTCTATGTGCTATTGATGAGTTCTACAGTCAGTAAAGTTAAACTTCTACTGGCTTTACTATTAAAAGCTAAGATCTTTATGAAGCAAACATGTCTCAGATATGTTCCTGCTTTGTGTGCACAGATCGATCATCGGATGTAATTGTATCCACACAACTTTAAGTTACCAGCACCTTGGTGGTCAAAAGTATGAACCAAATCAGCCAATCATGTTGCTGTGGCACAAAACAAACATCTTGTGTCTTTTCTCCATACAAACAGTGACCTGTAGCGCCTCTACCCTACCCAACCCAACACACACACACACACTGATCCACATGTTGACAGATCAAAGTCCAAAGCTGCACTGGCGGCCTCGATCAATACACTTATTCACGAAGAAACACACTCAAGCCCAACTCTGTGTGTGTGTCTTGACCTGTCTTTAACTCTTCCCTTTATGTGACCAGACTTACCCTGGGTCAGTCCTTTTGATGTGAATTGTACAAAGACACCAATGAGACGCTGGCTCATGAGCCAGTTGAATATAATGTTTGTGTTGATGGTGTGCAGGGGGGGTGGGGGGGGGCGAGGGTATCATATCATGCGAGCACTTGAACTGGGAGGCAGATTCATTGTGTGAAGGCAGGGTGGGGGCGGGGCACAGTGCATGATGTGCACACAGTATGGCTTGTTGTGTGAATACATGGGGTCAGACGTGCTAAATGGGTTCACCGTTGTCTGTCCTCTGTTTATTGTCCACCTCATGGTGTCAATTATTCTATCTGGGTGCACGCGTGTAGATACAGTGTATGTAGATGCAAATATTTGTAATAATAAACTTTATATTAATGCATTTGTAGAGGACAAGGAGAGATGTAAAATAAGGATTCAGCTTTTCAAAGACGCTAAATTCCAAGTATGGAGCTAGAGACTGGAATGGAGGATGTCCTATTCTGTACAGATTGTAAAACCCTCTATTGCAAATTTTTGATTTGTGATATTCGGCGATACAAATACATTGACTTGAATATTGAATTTGAGCAGGCTTTGGTTAAACTGTCCCTCTGGAGAGCTAAATAGGTGGAACGCATTGACCGAAATGCAATCTGAGGACCATCATCCGACGATGATTTAGCTTTTTATTGGTTGAAAACAATCTTGTAAACTAGCTAACGTGAAACAACCCAGTCGTACGGGTCGTCTCTCAACTCCAACTCCAGTCTCGCATCTCACCGGAACCCCAGAAATACAGCCCCTCGCTCCCAAAAAACGTATCTGTCGTCAGACCGATGGGTTCTGAGATTGAATGGTCTCCAACTCTGTGCTTAATGCACAGATATGGGAGTCGCATCAATCTTCTGCCTTTCCAAAAGTGTCTGCTCTGGTTGCAAAAAGAACTCTGATTGTATAGAAGTTTATGAGGAAATGACTCTACTTCTCTCTTGATTTATTACCTCAGTAAACATTGTAAACATGAGTTTATGGTCTCAATCTCTAGTTTCAAGTCTTCTTCAGTACAGCATGATGTTCATTTAGTACATTATGGTCCATTTAGAGTCACACAGACCATAAAGCAGGGGATGCTTTATGGTCTGCCGTATACGGTGTCTCTACGTCACTCCTCCGCAATCAAAATATGGTAACGAGCCGAGATGGCGACGACCCCAATCCCAAATTGCGATGGCCAAAACGCCAAACTTGATGCTTCAAAACAGCAGTCCACAAACCAATGGGTGACGTTACAATGAATCCGTCCACTTCTTAGATACAGACGTTGGGAAGAACTGGCCTGGACTGAGCCCTGAACTCAACCCCATCCATCACCTTCTGGGATGCACTGAAACACTGACTTCGAGCTTTACCGCCCAATATTTGGACCTCACACTTGTGCCTGAATGGGAGCACATCCCTGCAGCGATTTGTTCCAAAACCTCTGCCTCCACTCTCCAATGCAGCCTATTAATACCCACAGTTTGGGGGAAAGAGAGAGTGTAATGTTCTGGTGTTCACAGATTTCTTCCCCATTCTGTGTGCTCCATCATCTCCATCTCTATCTGTGGGCCTTTTATACGTCCAAGTGGCTGCACTAACAGCGGGTCAGCCGACTTTTTTTTCTTTTTCATATACAGTATATCTCATTTGCCATGGGAACAAGCATTTCCTGATGACAGTGTCAGAGATGGTAATGACAACCTCTCCATTCTCTCCCTTAAACACACACATTAGCGTCCTGAGCTCGCTCTGCGCGCGCTGCCTCCCTGCTCCTCGCTAAGACAGCCATTCATTAAATATACAAGGCAGCGCTTTAAATAAACCTGGAGCCGGAGCAGGCCGCCCCTCCGAGGGCCGCTGGGGATCTCATGAAAGAGAATAGGCAGCACATTTGGCAGGGTACACACACACACACACACAGATACCTATACAGCATCACACAAACACACACCTTGCACTGAGTGTGTCATTCTGTCAAGAGCCCTCTGTCTGACCCGCGCCAGCTGAAGACGCTGTGTCAGCAGATCCGGCCTTCTTCAATTCTGTTTCTTACAATAGATTCTGTTTCTGTATGACTGCATCTGCACTTTATACCAGAGGTGGGTCGCCACTCTTGCAGTCTTTTTTTTTTTTTTTGGAGTGGGAACGGTGATTACTTATTTATAAGACTGTGGTAAGTTTTAGAGCATAGCCTTATCTTTGCTTCCTCTACTCATTATTTTATCATCTTCCTCCTCTAGTTTCAGCACCCTGCAGCTCTCTCTGTCCTTTCTGCTATTTAATTGTAACGATGCAGTAGATTTATTGCTGCTTTTTTAAAATAATGTTGAGTGAAATCTTGAGTAAAGAAGTAATAATTAAACACCAAAGTATATTTACATTTTGTACTACCTTATCGTTTGCAAGTGCCTTCATCGTTGCAAGTGTAAATAGTACAAATAAAAATAAATTGGGTTTTTTTTAAGGATTTTTTTTTTATCAATTCAGGGTGTTTCCCCCAAATATTACATAACATTGCAAGATTAAAAATAAAAATGCCACCTGGATATAATAAAAGATATCTGGTCCCCTCTCCTCTCACAGCTGGTGATGTACGTCGGCCAGGTGATGAAGGACACGCTGAAGCTGCCTCGCCCTCTCTCGCCCCCCGTGGTGAAGCTGGAGCCGCGCATCGACGCCGAATACGGGCTGCCCTCCACCCACGCCATGGCCGCCACCGCCATCTCCTTCACGGTGTTACTGAGCGCTCCGTCCAGGATACAGGTGAGCGTCGCTGATTTAAATGCAGTAAGACGGCATAAAAAATTACTACACAGTTTTGAGATACAGCACTTAAAACGCAAATATATTGCTCAGTAGCCTCATGTGTAACAAATCGATGAGGCGGTTGAGTCAAAGTCATCAAGCAGAGTGAGTGGATGGTGAAGAATGACCAAAGAGATCATTGACATCCAGACTTGAACCAAGACAAGGGTCACAACCACCTCATGTGAGTGAAGTTCTACACATAGACAACCCTGCTGTCATTGTAAGTAGACAAGGAGAAGGTAGGCCATGCAAGACACAGACGTGGTTTAAAAGCTCAGCAAAGCTAATAAGTGGGGATTTACAACTAGGATCTGGAGTGTACGTTTAACCGTAATTGTGACAATAGGTATGTCATTAACTGTGCTATTAAATTGCTAGTGAAGTTTATGGATATAAGATTAGCGAGGCAGGAGTTGGTGTTAAATCGGTCGATCCGAATGAGCCGCTTCTCGCTCAAATTGAAATTGTGAACGTTACAGTTTGAGGCACTGGGGGTCTGTGGACAGTAGAGTGGGATGGAAGGGAGTGGCCCCGCTGTCCATCACAGGGTCCCGACTGAGCCGTTGGACAATGGGCAGGGAGGGGCGGGGCCAGCAGTCACCATCAGGCACACCCGGCCGCTGTTTGGTCTTCTGATGGACTCGACCGAGTCAATGACTGTCAGTCCACGTCTCCTCCTCCTCCTCCTCCCGACTCTTCCTGTCTTTATGTCTCCCGCTCTACTGCAAAGTCAATAAAACACTCAGTGGCTCAATCATAGGCCGTCTTAATCACGCACTGTGTTTTAATGAAGGATCGAGTGAATGCCCAATCCTGCTTTACAGCCTCAACAGCTGTCTGCTTGATTTGTGGTCAAATCACAGCAACTATTCACCTATAATTTTCTCGCACTGCCGTTCTCAAGGTCAGACGAAATCATCTCGGCAACCCCCCCGAGACAACCCCCGCGTACAGTAGAGCACTTAACTGTGGCCTGGAATTCCTCCAGGATTCCCCCTGAAAAGAAAAAGAGCCGTAGCGAGCTGGAGCAGAGAGGCTCCTGAATAGCCACGAGGCCTCGGGGCAGCTCGCCCGGTTCCCCCGGAGCAGGTCGGAGGTCACGACAGTCAATCACAGAGTGCCCCCACCCCACCTCCCTCCTGTCCCCGGCATCCTTTGTGGCCATTCAAAAAAAAATCTCTTCATGAACTACCAGTGAATAGGCTTCCAGCTGCAAAAGACAGGAAAAGACACAGGAAGGAAAGAAAAAAAAAAGGCAGAGAGGAGGGAGGGGAGGTGAATGAATACACAAGGCCTCTCTTCTCACTGTTATTGAAATGGAGGGGGGGGGGACAAAAACCTGCTGCTTTAGGTAAAAGGAGGGAGGGCAGAGAGGATGGAGACAGTAGAGGAATAAAGGAGCAGCGGCTTGATGACGGGCACTACATCAACCTGGCAGAGGAGCTACACGTCGCCATTAAGAGGATTGACGAACGGATGATTTGATCAGGAAGGTTTAAAAAGAACAAAAACTACTGAATGACAAATGTGTTTCTACTGGGGAATGTTTTCATGTGACGCGTAACGTTTCCACTGTCACAGATTTCAGCGTTTGGTTAGTGATCCAAGTGTGTTTGTGTCCCAGTTCCAGTTCGAGGTGGGTCTGCTGATCGCTCTGACGCTGTCATCTCTGGTGTGTCTGAGCCGCCTCTACACTGGCATGCACTCAGTGTTGGTGAGCTAGTCCGCACGCACACACACCCGCACGCACACACACGCACACACACACACACACAACCTTCAAGCTCAACGCAGGATTCATAATTCATCAGTGTCTGGTTAAACTGTCTGGCTGAGGCTTTGATCCAAGATACCTTCCGTTTGAAAAGTTATGTAAATTTCTGATTATTTAGGTTTTAGTTATGTTTAAGTGCATATTTATCACATCTATCAGGGCTGAAAATACTGATTTGATCATTTTTCTCCCTTTCTTCCCGTTTTGGGAAATATGCTTTTTGCATCCTTGCTGAGTTAGAAGAGAAGTCTCGAATATCTGTCGGCTAAAAATACTAAAACCAGCAGCCAGTTAGCCCAAAACCCAAAATGTCTAAAATGAACAAAATCCACTTCTAAAGCTCACTAATTAACACACATATGAGTGGTATCGATACATCTAAACTATTGTCTCATTATTGTGCTTTCAGGATGTGATCTGCGGCGCTCTGATCTCCGCCGTCATCCTGTTCCTCACCTACCCGTACTGGGAGACCTTCGACCGCTTCCAGCTCACCAGCTCCATCTCCCCCATCGCGGCGCTGACGCTGCCTCTCCTCCTCAGCTACACGTACCCGGAGCTGGACCGCTACACCACCACGCGGGGGGACACCACCACCATTCTGGGAGCCGGGGCCGGCTGCTCCGTGGGCTACTGGGTGAACCAGCAGCTGGGGCAGACCTTCGAGCCCCAGGGGGCGCTGCCCGTACCCTTACCCGCGCTCACGGCCAACGCGTTGGCACTAGGTGGCGCCCGCTTCCTCGTGGGAGGCGCGGCGTTACTGGGAACTCGGCTGGTAGTGAAAACGGTGAGCCTGCAGGCGCTGTATTCGTGGTACGAAGTGCCGAGAAGCGACGACGGTGCCAGGAGGAGAAGGGAGATAGAAGTGCCGTACAAGTTTGTCACGTACACTTCTGTTGGACTTGTCAATTCTATATTAGTCAATAGAGTGTTTATTCTACTGGGGCTGCTATGACCGATGATTTGAACTTGCCATAACAAAAATGTACCTTATATTTATTTCAATGTTGTATTTTTACACGTTAACAGCTGTGACTGACTCACAAAAATGTAACTGAACCAATAGCAAATAAAATGTTTTACAATGACATTTGACTAAGTAGTGAAGGTCGTAACACGGTGTGCAATGAAGCAACACATCTAGAATTTTTTCCCAGGCTAGTTCCCGGTTACTTCAACTGGGAGAACCCCACCTTGAGCCAGACGCGCTCAAACCAGTCGATCGAAACTTTGACTCGGCAACTTCCTTTCAATGGCACCAGTCTTTTGTCATCTGCTCTGTGTATGTTCAGCAGCAGCGCGGTACCGAAAGAGTTAACCTTCTCTTTTGCTACAGTAGAGTTTGAAGGAGTGCCGGTGCACCTGTCAGAAAACATTTACAAGACGGCTCGTTATCCGGCTTTCACATGGGAGGCTACTGGCTGCAAGAATTCCTCTTTGAAAACCAACAGTGAAGCATCAAAATACACAGAGAGGAAGTCTGTGTGCGCCTGTTACCTGATCTGAACTACAAATAAATAAAGATTGGAAGTCAAAAGTTAGAACGGCTTTATTGGATGTTTTGAGGACTGTTTTGTATGGAAGCGTAAACAGATGAGGGCCCTGAGCTTCCTTGACAGTGTTTCATATTAAATCACTTGTCTTTAGCCAAAAAACCAGCTGCTACCATTCAGTGAAGCTATTGTGGGAAAGATTCTAGATCTTATTGAAGGCGGCCACGTCCACGGACTGAACGTATTCCTCGAAGGCGGTGATGGCTTCCTCCAGCAGGTCCGTGCCCACTTTGTCGTCCTCCACCACGCACCCGATCTGGAGCTTCCTGATGCCGTAGCCCACCGGGACCAGCTTGGACTGCCCCCACAGCAGCCCGTCCATGGCGACGCCGCGGACGCATGCCTCCATCTCGGCCATGTCCGTCTCGTCGTCCCAGGGCTTGACGTCCAGCAGGATGGAGGACTTGGCGACGAGCGCCGGCTTCTTGGACTTCTTGGCGGCGTACTCGGCGAGGCGCTGTTCCTTGATTCGATCCGCCTCGGCGCTCTCGGCCTCGTCGTCCGAGCCAAACAGGTCCAAGTCGTCGTCGCTGCCGACGTTCGCCGTAGCCGGGAGGACGAACCGAGTCTTAGCCGATGGGAGGCCGTCTCGCTCCCTCTGGAAGGACTTGATGTGGTTATACCAGCGCGCGAGGTGGCGGAAGGCGGAGGCGGGAGCGGAGGGGATGGCGTCGAACATCGCAGCGTCAGCCTGGGACGCCGCGAAGCCCTCCATGTAGCTTTTGTCAGCCAGAAAGTCATCGAGCGCTTTAAGGCCGGCGGCCGCGCTCACGTCACCGAACACGGTTTGTGTGGAAGTCGGACGGGAGGACGACGGCGCCCGCGACGGTTCGGGGAACTTGTGCTTGAAGACTTCCTGCACGGGGACATCGTGTGTGAGGAGGGTTTCGGCACTGTGGCCACTGGAAGAACCAAGGCAACAGGTGATGAGTCACTGAGCTTAATTAGCATGCACTTAAACCACCACGGCACAAGTGACCTAAATCAACACCAGGCATGCACGTACAAGCCCACACGGAGATGCAAACCATTCACATCACACACACAATGGTCTTGTTCATTTTTAATAAAAACAGCCTCGTTGACTCCACACAATGATACTGCAAAGATTGGTCTTTTAGTTTCCCTCATGCACGCCATGCACACTTCAACACCAACATCAAGCCTCATCTATGTTTTCTGTCTTTACAGTGGCATAAACAGCTGTGCATGTTTTAATGTTTAGGAAGGGGAAATCACAGGAAGGGCTCGATGTCGATCTCCAGGGCAGAGCAGGGCATGGTCAGCTCGAAGCGGTCGATGACATCGGGGTGCAGGACCCCGAGACGCCCGACGCTCTTCCCACGGGCGAAGATCTCCGCACAGCGACCGGGGAAGAAGGTGGAATCTAAGAGGGAGAGAGAAAAAGAATAACTTAAAGTCCCAATGAAACTGAAGGCATTAGCTTCTGTACTGTGAGTATTTCCTGTGTAACAGAATATTTAAGCTGTATAAAGGCACAAGAGGGATGTAAATCAAATCCTTTTAGAGAACAGATGACATCCACGGCGTTGAGCTCAGGTGGGTTTTTGCACATCGTATCACAGATGAGTCGATCATACAGTGTGGGCGGTGCTGTGCCGCCTTTCTTGTTCCTTTAACAGTTTCATCTTCCAATTTAAAATCTTGTGTGTGTGTGTGTGTGTGAGAAGGTCACTACAGTCCAGATGGGATTAAGAAATAAAAAAGCCAGCGAGACGAAGCAGCGCTGGCCAATACGAGGTGGATCACTTTGTGTGAAAACAAACAAAAAACACTGACAGACAAAGACGGACTTGTCAGAGATTTCACAAGATACAGAGACATGGCATTCTCCCATGGTGCACTGCTCCTTCCCACGCTGCCTTGCTAATGGGTTCCACTGCTTAGATGCTCACTCATCACTATGGATGAAGGCTTGCAATTCACATGGATTGTGTGTGTGAATATCTGCCTGCGTCGGTTCTCACGTCACCTCTTCGCACCATGATCAGGATGCCATGGTAACTATATAAATAGCTCCGGTACATCTTAAATAACTGATCAGTCAATGAAAACCCGTCACTTGAGCCGGGCCCCTCTCTCTCTCTCTCTCTCTCTCTCAGCGGTAGAGGAGAGTCAGACGGTTGGATCAGATAACAGAACCGGCTGATGTCGCCAACGGATTTAATGCTATTTTAGACGATTGGACAGAAAACTCACACAGGTTCTCACTGGATCAACAACATTTCTGCAACATTTCATTTCTAAAAAAAACACAACCAGTGGACAATGTAGTTATTTAACAAACGTTACTCAAAAAGAGGATATTGTGCATTTGTTGGGGACTATTTTCAGCTGCGGATTAATACACATGTGTTGCTCTTGTAAATATTTACAGCAGAACTTCGTAATATGTGGGACTGAGTCAAAATGAACTACAGTGTGATGTGTTTTTAGTCAGTGGGTTCAATTCATTTCAGTTTTGGTCTTTTCATGCGATTCGTTGACAATAAGAACATTTTATCAGCAATTAACTGTGTGAGTGCATCGTCGGTATTGGTTCACTCAGTTTCATTTTTGGCTGCACCCGGAAGCGGTTTTCAGGGGGAAAAACTTGCCGTCCACTTCCTTCACAGTTAGTGACTAGCTGGTGAACATACGGAGCATTTAGCAGCTAAAAGAGAGATATCTCCCTCAGGACTAAGATCAGAGCTAAAAGAGAGTGAATATTGGACAGAAATATGAACAATGGTTCTCTCTCAATGGTTCACTACTGCCTGTATAAATAAGCATACGTTTGCCACATCAACTTAAAAAGGTTATGACATCAATGTTGTATCAGTACTAACCTTCAGAATCACATACAGCACGAACACTTACGGTCAATTACTGATTAAAAAGAGACAACCACGTGACGGTCTCTTTCCTGACAAAGGGAGTATGGCACAAGACTCTGCATTGGACACAGTTGTTAAGTGAAACAAGGGCGTCTGTCTCTTAAGTGGTTTCTTCCTCCACTTCTGATCCCCTGACTCCTTGTTCCAACCCTCCTCCCCCCTCCTCCTCGCTGAGTGGAGGTAACTCCGCTGACATGTATTCCCTCAGCAGGGAGCGATGGGGAGTTGCAGGCTGATCCTCACATCCTGAGGGTGAGCGTATCTGCGTCAGGTGAGCTCTTAGACCGGGGTCACAACCTCGTAATGGGGTTAAGGACACGCTGACATATGTGGTGGTGGGGGGGCTAATGGTGCATAAAGCGTGGAAAGAGTGGAATGGGGAGAAAGTGTGTTGCTGCACTGCATTAGTGCGCACTGTGAGAGCACGCTTCCCTTCTAAGTGTGTGCCTGTCAGATGGACGGTCCGAGGACCCGTGGGTGGGTGTTGTACGTGCCAGTCTCAGTCTCGCTGCTCGGCACTGCAGTGGGTGACGTGACTCTCGGGCTCTCTCCCACTCTGCAGACTGTACACACTCATACCCTCTCTTACTTCCCCACACCTCTCTGGTCTCATCTCATTCCTTCCTCCGCTCTCCCCCCCCCTCCTCCATCAGCCTCCCCTTCTCTCTGATACTTGAGCCCATTGATTTGCAGTCTGAATGAGACAGAAGATATCCTGCAGAGTGACCTTGGGAGCATGCATGGCAGGAGAGGTAGATAGGATGGAGAGAGCGAGAGCGAGGTAGATAGGATGGAG